AAAAAAAAAGAAAAAGATAAACAAAAACAGAACAAAACAAACAAAAAAACAGAATATGATCAAATATGATCAGGCTGGTGCATAGGTCAGTGTCACACACTAGATTTTGGGTGTATTTTGGTCTGTTAGAAGAAAGTTCCTCCCAAAATTTTAAAGAAAGAAAGAAAAACTTATGTATGTACAAAAATAAGGGTTGATACAATGAAGGGATGGAATATGAGTGTAAAGATGAAAAGTATAAAAAATTGTGTAAAAGGAATTGATAAGAAGTTGTTTGAAAAAAGAAAGAAGAGGATTTAAAAAATAAAAAGTGGAGAGAATGTGATCAGGCAGGAGAGTAGAACAAAGCCATACACTAGAGATTTAGGATATATTTTGATCTGTTAGAAGAAACTGTGTCTCAAAATTTTACAGAGAGAACACTTATATATATATGCCAAAAATGTAACTATTATGAAGGGATAGAATATGACTCTAAAAATGAAAAATAAAAATGTTTTTTAAAAAAGGGGATTGATAAGATGTTGGTTGAAAAAGAGAAAAAGAAAAATTAAAAAAAATTTAAAAAAATTAACTTTGAAAGACTAAAGAATCATGGTAAAAAAAAGCCATGAATTCTATGTGCAGTATTTCCCTAGCACTGGAGTTCTGCTGTTCTCATTGATCGGTAAACTTGGTCTTGGCTGGCTGTTCTTGCTGATCTTCTGCGGGAGGGGCCTTTTGCCGTGGTTCCTAAATGTCTTTGCTGGAGGTGGAATTGCCCCGCCCTTGCCTGGTCCAGGCTGAGTAATCTGCTCAGGTTTGCTCTTGGGAGCTTTTGTTCCCTGCAAGCTCTCGGTTCAGCTTTGGCGGAGGAGAGTGAAAATGGCGGCCTTTCAATCTCTGTCCCAGAGGAGCCGAGAACTCAGGGCCCCACTCCTCAGTGCGCCCCCAGAGAAAAGCAGTCAGTCACTCCTGTCTCCCTGGTCTCCGGCCGCACTCTGTGCTCACCCGGCCTCTGACCGAGTGTTTCTATCTCTGGCACACAACCCTGTTTGGAGTCTCCAAACCCAGCAGATCCCTGCAGTGTGCTCCTGCACCGCTCCTCCCAGGGGAGGAAGGGGAGTGTCCCCGGATCTGCTGCTTGTTGGGTCCCTGCTGGAAGAGCAGTGGCCAGACTGTGCCGCGGATCATGGTTTATGCCAACCCGGAGCTGAGAGCCCGCGCCCCGGCTCCGTCTCTTCAGCTGGCTTCCCTGCTCTGATACCTGGGAGCTCTGCCGCACTCAGGTACCCCGGTCTTTCTGTGACCCCGAGGGTCCTGAGACCACACTGTCCCGCGAGGGTTCCAACCCCCGCTTAGCCACTGGAGCAATGTCCCTCAGTGGAGCCGACTTCTAAAAGTTCTGATTTTGTGCTCTGCGGCTCTATCACTTGCCAGAAGCGGCCGACGGAGGCCCCCTCCCCCGCCATCTATCCTCCCGAATATCGCCTTGGATTCACTTCTCCACACATCCTACCTTCCAGAAAGTGGTCGCTTTTCTGTTCAGAGAGTTGTTGCTATTCTTGTCTTCGAGCTTCTGTTGGGTTCATAGGTGTTCAGAATGGTTTGATCCCTATCCAGCTGAATTCCTGAGACCAGACGAAATCCAGGTCTTCTACTCCTCCGCCATCTTGCTCCTCCCCCCTTGTTGTTTTTATTTTAAATTCAATTAATTAACATATAGTGTATCACTATTTTCAGAGGTAGAGTTCAGTGATTCATCTGTCTTATATAATACCCAGTGCTGATTACATCATATGCCCTCTTTAATGTCCATCACCCAATTACCCTATCCCCCCACACTCCCCCCGCCCTCCAGCAACCCTCAGTTTGTTTCCTCTAAGTACATCTGGGTTTTGTGTTTACTCAAAATTTGTTACTGATGATTGTTGCTGATAATGAAGTACTAAAATTTGCAAGTGGTTTTAAAAAATAAATTCAAAAAAAATTTAGGTTATTCCTGTAGTAGCACAGTTACATTGTTTTCTTGACTGAAAGAAAATGAAGTAAAGTTTGAGCTATTTAGCTGGAAATTGCACAAAACCTTGACCATTGATTGATTCATTCAAAAAATGTTCATTGAGAGCTTGCTAGCTTTCCTTATACGTATACCAAAGATACAGTGGTGAACCATGGGATGTATCTGAGTGTGTGTTCATTTTGAACATTTTGTGCTATAAACAGTGTCATCTGTCATGTTATTTCTTGTGGGGGAGAAAGGTGCTAGTGTCAACAAGAGAGCGCACTAATTTAGGAAAGGATCTGAATTAAGAGCCTACTATTACCTTACTACAAAGGAGCCTTACAGGGAGCCCATGAACTACCTGAAGTTGAAGAGATCTCTCTTCTGGGGAGTGAGTTCAGAACCTTGCATTAAATCCTCAAAGCATTCACCAGCCCTCCAAAAGATAAAGAGCTGTGTATTTAACACCTCTTTATCTTCTCTGAGCCTTCATCTTCTATTTGTAATAATGGTACATTCATTTCTTCCCTCATTGGGTTGTTGGGGGGTTCAAATCTGGTAATAATTCAAGTTAAACATTGTAAAAGGTAGAGATATATAGAGATGAAAATATTATAATCAAGCATTCTTTTTTGCTCCTCATTAGTGATCCCAACTGGTGGAAAGGTGAAACCCATCAAGGCATGGGGTTATTTCCCTCTAATTTTGTGACTGCTGATCTTACTGCTGAACCAGAAATGAGTAAGTATTTTCCAGTCTGTAAGTGCATGATAATCCACAACTGTCTTCTTAATAAAAGAGTAAATTCAACTTCATGGAAAGTTACAAGCTGAGCTGGGACTCTCAGATGTTAGTGCTGCCAAAGTGTTTGTTAAGAATGCAGCTTGTGTGCTCACTTCGGCAGCACATATACTAAAATTGGAGTGATACAGACAAGATTACCGTGGTCCCTGTGCAAGGGTGACATGCACATTATGAAGTATTCCATGTTTTTGTATTGTATGTAGTGATGAATCACTGAATTCTACTCCTGAAACCAGTATTGCACTGTATGTTAACTAACTGGAATTTAAATAAAAATTTAAAAAGAAAAAAATGCAGCTTCCTAGTCAGTAGATTATTTACCAGAAATCACCTAATTATCTACAGATTGAAATTATCTGTCTACCAAGATTATTCCTAATTGGATAATTGGGCAAACTATGGACTTTTCTTTAAAAATACTAGATTTATAGCATTATAAAACTGAAGATTAAGAAGTGTTAGGAAATTTATGCACTATGTATTTTCATTATCAGTTGATCAAGTATGACAAATACAGTGTACTCTCATAGAGAATTCTTTCTGTTCTAAGATTGAGGCCATTTCTTTAGTGTCTAGCCCCAAACTTGGAAGCAGTGGCCTGTAAGCAATATAATGGCTTTCCTAAGCCCCCATGTCAGAGAGTCAGAAGGAACCCTAAGTGATCATGTGAATACCTTATTGTTTGGTTTCCAAGTATGTGCTACTAGGGGAAATAAACTAGAAAGTAGGGCCCAAGAGGAAAAGTGATGTTCCTGGCAGGCATAATAGTTGCAGGAGATGTAACTACTTGTAACCTACCAAAAAACTCTTGGTAGGCAGTTCACTATATTTCTACATAATACTATACTTCACTGATCTTCATAATAATGAATTTGGGTCATCAAGATTAAGTCATAATCTCCCTTTGTTTAAGGAAACAGAAATATGTTCTAGTGTAGAAAGATTTCCATTAGTGGTTGAAAGGTTTAGAATTTTAAGAGTTTGTATATATAAGCTGGTAAGCTATAGTTATCTGGCAGAATATCTCACCTCATCTCATCTTTCTATAATGCCAGTAGAAGGTATCAAAGAGAGTTATAAGCTACAGGATTCTTAGGTCTTTTTTAGTTTATAAGAATTTTAAGAAAGGATCTTTGTCTTAGTCATCTTTTCATTTTTTGTTTCCAACAGCACGTAGTACTGAATCTTACCCAGAATACAGACTATCTAAATATTTATACAATAAATGGTACATATGTATGTGTATGTTTACATATATATATATACACACACACACATATATATGTAAAAGATACACTTTTCCTGGAATAAGAATACTTCTCTTTCAAGAGAGGGCTTTAACAACAAATCGGACATTACTTTTATATTTGATGAAACAAAGCTGTCTCCCAATTATTGCCAAGTTGTCTCATGTCATTTTATGACCGATTTATGACAGAGACAGATTCCTGATACCCATTCTAGTAATGGAGTTCTTTTTTGTTAGAACTCAAAAAATACATTGTAGAACACTTTTTAAATGGCAGTGTATTTGGGTGCCAATTTTTTAACCTGGGCTTATGGTGGTGATTTTTTTCTTTGCTTTTTTTTTGAGGTTTGGGTTTTTTGTTTTTGTTTTGTCCTCAATAAGCTATTGGAAAAGATGGAATTGTCTTGGACTTCTGTTCAAGATGAAATCCAAGATCTCATATGGATCATGTAGCCAATTCCTCTTTTTCCCCATCATATAGCAATGCAACTTTAAAATGAGTATTCTAGCTCTTCTTCCTGTGTTTCACTCTGGACTACTGAAAAGAAGAGCAGGAACAGGAGAGCTTCTATAATGGAATTGTAGTTCTTGAGCTTGGGAAATGAGTGTTAGCATGATCTTCTTAGCATTCCTCTTCTTTTTTTTTGTTTTTTTTTAAGATTTTATTTCTTTATTTGAGAGAGAACATGAGAGAGGGGAGGGTCGGAGGGAGAACCAGACTCCCCACTGAGCAAGAAGCCTGATGTGGGGCTCCATCCTGGGACTCGGGGATCATGATCTGAACCACAGGCAGATGCTTAACCACCTGAGCCACCCAGGCACCTCTTCATAGCAGAAGCCCACTTTACTTAATGTCCTGTACAAGTACCTGCCCTGCTTGGCTTGTTTTTCTTTTGGAAGTGTAGGAAGATACTGTGAAAATAGTTTATTTTGTGTACATGCACACACACACACGCACACACGCATGCATGCACGCATGCATATTTGGTAATAATGCCTTTGAGAAAAAGCACTGAAAACTTGTGCATAGTCATCTGTTAGGATGTGTTCTCTTATGGGTAGCAGCCAATGCGGTGCTTTCCCAGCTCTCTACTTGTTAACAGCTCAAGATATAAAAAGCAGAAATATCTCTAGCACATGTCTCTTTTACCCCAATGAGAAAATAAAATCAGCTGAAACTTTTGTGTGTGTATAGAATTTTGCTTTATTGTGATTTGAATGGGATGAATGGAAATTAAATTATCTACATTTTTATACAGAAGCTTATAGCACCGAATACATAAGTGGTATGAGTTCCTGTTCTCAGAGTAAAAAATCATCGGCCAGATTTCAGTATGTGGGCTAGTAGCACCAGATAGATTCGTATTTAAATCCAGGCAGTGTCATATATTAGCTTTTTCCTGCACAAGCGTTTTTAATATTACTGTGCTGCTGTTAACCTCATTTTTAAAATGGTAGAAGAGATTCATTTGGGAGGATATGTAATATTCTATTATGCACATTTAATAGTTTAATTAATATATTTCCTTTACATAATTCTGCTCTGTTCCCAAACCCCTTTTCATCTTGATTCTTAATATTTTTATGAATACTGATTAACCACATTGGTACAAGGATGAGAAATGCAGAAAGGAAGTTCATTCCTTTAAAGTCGTATGAGCCTCTCAGTATATTGGGGGAGAAGGTTAATTGCTCTATTAATCATAACCTTATATTTACTAGTTAATGATATATTGAATAGTTTTTAAAGATTGCTTTGTTAAGCAACAGAAATATGTGCTTCTGGCCAGTGGTTTGCAGATCCCTTCATAACCACATTTTTATTTCAAAGAATAATGGAACTAAAAAATGCGGGCTGATTTAGTGGAAAATTCATATCATTGCCCATGCCACTTGTAAAGTTCTCCATTGACCTAGATGTCATTCTCCTAGTAAAACGTCTGAGTAGCTTGCCAGAGAACATATAGCTGACTTTCCATTTCACTACATTGAAATAGCATGGTCTTTCAAATGAGATTTTTCTTTGAAGGGACTGGTAATTTAAAAGAGGACTTAATTTTAATTTGTAGAGTTCATTTTTGTCCTTGTAAAACTTTACTTTTTGTCCAATTTACTAAACTCTCATATGTAGTAGGTAATTAATCTTTGTTTCAGAAATATACCTCTTATTTTTAGTGAAGTATCTTTTATGGAAAATGTAAAATCTTAAGAGAAAATTAAGAAATCTTCACAGAATTCCATAAAATAATGTTCTCTCATTATTGCCTAAATCTGTAGTTTATTCCTTAAATTGAGTCTCTCAGATTGAAGGGAATAAAAGAAAAATCCAAATTCTCTCATGCAGTTTAAAGTGCTTTAGAATAGAATTTTAAGTTTATTATAAGGAAAAGATAAATATTACATGTTTTACAGTTAAAACGGAGAAGAAGACGGTACAATTTAGTGATGATGTTCAAGTAGAAACAATAGAGCCAGAACCGGAGCAAGCCTTTATTGATGAAGTAAGTGATTTTCTCTGTGAGAGTTGTTCATACTTGGTATTGAAGTAGAAGTGCTGTTACTGTCTTCTTTAAAAAAAATTGATTACTTGATTAGTGCATGTATTTTATGTTATAAAATTCAAGCAATATAGACAAAGCAAAGACTGTCCTTGAAACTGTCTCTCTAGTCCCATTCTGTACCTCATTATTTAAAATTCCTGCTTAATATTCCATAGAATGGGTTTATATGATTTATTTATTTTACTATTGGAACTAAGGTTTTTTGCAGCTTTTTGTTTTTTTTAATTATTGCAAACACAATTTTGTGAAATTTTTTTGGATGGAATATATTTAATAGAATATGTGACTTTTATTTGTGAAGATCAGTATTTAATGCTCTGGAAATTACATCCTTTGTAACATTTTAAACTTATGAAAAATGATATTTAAAATACCATATTTAAAATATTAAGATATTTTAAAATCTTTAAAATATTTGAAGGGATTTTATAGGTTTTTAGCCTTCTTTGGAAGGAGGCGTAAACAAAGTTTGAAGTTTCTCCTTTAGAGAAACAGACCGTTGAAGACTGCTGAGAGCCAGGGAATCTGACTGGATCAGGGAAACTTATGTTGGGCCAGTTGCATTGCATAAGACAATGTGTGTAGAGTCAGCCTAGTGGTCTGTATAGAAATCTCATTTCTCTGATATTAGCTAATTTCAAATAGGTGTAATATTCTGTAAACAAATAAAACAAAAATTATCCAGATGTTAGTTGACTCTCTCATATTACCTCCCACTTCCCCCACTTTTTTTTTCTTTGCTGTAGGCGAACTTTTCTGACACCTTTTCTAGGCTACTTAAAATGAAAATTATGAATCTTTTACATTGAAAAATAGTATCCATTTCAACATATAAAATTCTTTTGACTAGAAGAGTTTTTTACGTACTTGTGTCCCTTTCACTGTCCAGTGATTAATCTATCTCTCAAGCTGTTTGCAGAAACAGAGTTTTTGTCTTGGCTTAAATGACTGTATAAAGCTGGTAGTCTTTTACATTATTTACCTAATGTACCTGTGGTTAGTAACAAAACCATGTAAAAACCATGCATGGAGAAAACTTTGTCATTATTATAGTATTATTCTTTGGTACGTGAGATCAGTATTTTGATTCTTAAAAACTTACGTATAACTACATGTATACTTGTGTAATAATATAGATGTATTAATATAATGATGGCTTCATTAGTTCCATTGGTTTTTATAAGGGAAAATTCTGAAATAGATCCTGAGTCCTTGCTTTGAGATACCTTTCAGCCTTCTCACATAGGAAAATAGAGAAACCACAAATCTTTTTCCTTTTATGACAGACTGAAATATTGGTGGAAAGAAAATGTAGAATAAAATCTTATGGCGCTACTTAGAAGGAGAAGAGCTGTGATATAGCTGAGCTATGTCTTGCTAAAACAGCTGCTGTATTCACCGTGGTGGAGAAGTGATAACGAGTTGTCAGTCATAAGTAATGCCATCTTGAGAGAGAAGTTGCACCTGTCAGCATGGCAAGGCTACAGCCGCTCCAAAACAAAATGACACAGAAATCCACAAGCATGACATAACAGATTGAAGAACTCACACATTTTAAGTTTAAATATGGTTCTGTTTCTTCTCATTTAAGAAAGTCTCTGTTAGCAGTTTCAAAAGTAAGTAGGAAGAGCTTTCAGGCCTCTGACTTCACATGGTACTAAAGATAACACAAATACTCAACACGTCAAAGCAAAATTGGAGTCTCCATATGAATCACAAAAATTCTCCCTCCATTATCTAATTAATGAAGTGAGACCATATTGTTGCATAACGATTTATTGCTTTTTTTTATTAACTATTTAATTCCTGTAGGACAAAATGGACCAGTTGCTACAGATGTTGCAAAGTACAGATCCCAGTGATGATCAGCCAGATCTTCCAGAGTTACTTCATCTCGAAGGTAAACTTTGTTTTCCATTAACCTTACACGTAAAGAATAATCAGAGGTTATATCTAGTGTTCTGTTACAGAATGATTTTATATTTAAAATCAGTTGGAAATGATATAAAAAATGTTAACTCCACTCCTCTATGACCCAATCTCACTTATATGAATATCCATGAGAGATATGCTTTCTTTTGCTGTGTTTTCTTATATTTCTTTAAATCTTGTTATCTTAGCAATGTGTCACCAGATGGGACCTCTCATTGACGAAAAACTGGAAGATATTGATAGGTAAAAGAACGTGCTATATCTCTGTTGTATATCTTCTTCCCTGAAGTTCTCTTTAAGTGCATATTGGGATAGAGCTGCCTTTTTATTATTTTTTTATTTTAAAGATATGCCAGAAGAACCAGTTCTCATTCACTTGTTTTCCACTATAGATATGGGAATTAGAATTAGATACATCTGCCTATTTTTTTTAAGGTGAGCATTTATTTGACCTTAATTATATTAGTCTTTTTAAAAAAATGGTTACCTATTGTAATCATTGTAATGCTGTAAGTGGCATTACCAGAGCTCACAAATGTGCCACCCATCTGTTATTTACTAGGGATACCTACCTAGTTATTTCAAGGTAAAGTCAAGTACAATAATAAGCTGGAGTTCTCCCAGCATAGTACCTTAAGCAGTTTTGGTTATCTTGGAGCTAAAATACAGGATATTTTCTGCCATAACGTTAAATTTTTAGTAATGTCTGCTTATTATTTTTTGCTATTTTATGTGCCTTCTTATTTAGAACATCGTATCATTTAAATAGCAGTTGTGTTTGAAATTACTGTGTAATATTTCAGAAAACATTCAGAACTCTCAGAACTTAATGTTAAAGTGATGGAAGCACTTTCACTGTATACCAAGTTAATGAATGAAGATCCAATGTATTCCATGTATGCAAAATTACAGAATCAGCAGTATTATATGCAGTCATCTGGTGTTTCTGGTTCTCAGGTAAGCTTTTAAAAATTCAAGTATATCAGTTTATTTTTTATTTTATTTTTTTAAAAGATTTTGTTTATTTTAGAGAGTGAGCACGTGAGCGGAGGGTGGGGCAGAGGGAAAGGGAGAGAGAATCTCAAGCAGACTCCCCACTGAGCGAGGAGCCTGACTCAGAGCTCGATCTCAAACGCTGAGATCATGACCTGAGCCAAAATCAAGAGTTGAATGCTTACCAACTGAGCTACCCAGGTAGCCCCTCAGGTATATCATTTTAAATTCTCAATATATTTGAGATTATTTGGAATAGCTGTGTTTTTGTAAAATGTGAAACTTTCTGAAAGTAATCTTAGAATAAAGTTTAAAATAATTTTTTTATTTGATAAGGACAAAATATACTACACTAATTATTCCAGTAATTCTTTTTAAGAAGTTGTTTTTCTTCAAGGGTGTGCATCAGAATCACTAATCAAACCTAAAAAAACAAAAATACAGGTTCCTTGGCTACACCCGAAACCTATTAAAGTGTTCAAGAGTAAGGCCCAAACATCTATATATTTCTAAAACTTCATATGTAATTATCTGGTTAAGAAGCACATTTTTTGTCTGATTACTAAGTTATTACTAAATTTTTTGGGGTATCTACAGTTTTTGGTTTTATATTAAGTTGCTTTAATCTGAGTTTTTCCCTCTCCTTTACATGAAAAGATGTAGAATGTAATATAGAGCCCTTTTCCACCCTTACTCACCCCAAGGAACTATTTCAAGAGCCCTATTTCCATAAACTCAGCAAGTTTACTGTATAGGGAATAATTAGCCAGGCACTCCATTTTACTTATGCAGAGTGGCACAGACGTTGTGCAGTTAATTTTTTTCTTAAAAAATGGCCCACTTCCCCAGAAATGAGGGGCCAGATGCCTGGGGCTGAGCAGTCAGATTTGAGCAACATGGGGCTAGGTGACACCTATTCATGGCTCTTGATACCAGTTTGAGAAAGAAACAAAAACTCTTTATATTTCATTTGCAAAGTACAAAAAACAATGCGTTTAAGAAGACTGGAATAGCTCTGTTTATAATTAAGAACTTCTGTATTCTGATGTATGGTGAGTCTCTTATGGCTTAAAAGAAGTGCTAAGATGATTGTCTTATCTCCTGATAACTGTGTTACTACTATTTTAACAGCTGGTAAGAGTCTCACTGCATAGACAGTGGAGTTCTCTTTTCAGATATATGAAATGGAAGGATCTAGTGAATACTATAGAAAATTAGAATATTATGTGTGTTTAAAATTTTGGGCATTTAAGAAGTCAGTCTCTTTAGATTAAAATAAGTATGGTTTTTAGATGCGTGAGTGGTCAAACAATAGCCAAAGGCCAAATCCAGCCTCCCATGTCTTTTTTTTTTTTAAATAAACTTTCGCTGTAACATAGCCATTCTCACTCGTTTATACATTGGCTGCTTTCTATATGGGCAGAGTTCCGAGAGGCCCACAAAGCCTAAAATATTTATTATCTGGACTTTTGTAAAAATGTTTGCTGACCCCTGCTTTTGAAAGCTAACTTTCAAAAGTCATTTAGTGACTTATTTGTTCACTAAACTGTAATGTATTTGTCTTTCTCTATCTGACTTATTTGTTCACTAAACTGTAAAATAGGAAATACAAATTGTATCTATAAGTAAATGCAGTCTATTGACATGAAACAGTGAATTCAAAGACACTTCTTAAACATTTTTTGGGATTCCTTTTAGGAAAGTACTTAAAATATCGGTATGGAAAGAGAGATGATATTAGTATAAAGTTTCAAGGTAAGTTCCTTTACTGCTTCTGTATGAGATAAACACGAGTTTAGCTCGTGTTTACCCAAGAACAAAAACCATCAGAACCTCACTTCACTGAAAAGTATTTTTTTAAATGCCTATCAGAAGAAGTAACTTTCAAAAAGATTTCAGAGATTTCATTGTTCACTTTGTAATTGAATGCCTTTACAAAGAAATTTTGGCATACCTTTTAAAATCTTAGAAAATGTATTTTTTTTCTTTTTTTTTTTTTTTATCATAAACTGTTCTAGGTCTATCCAGGGCCTCCCCAAAGTGGTGCTTACCTGGTTGCAGGGAGTGCGCAGATGAGCCATCTCCAGAGCTACAGTCTTCCCCCAGAGCAGCTGTCTTCTCTCAGCCAAGGAGCAGTTCCACCATCTGTAAACGCAGCCCTTCCCAGTCAGCAGACTCAGGCTTCTTACCCTAAGTAATTTGATTTTTGACTGTTGTTTTACTGTTGTTTGGAGTTAGTGCTGTTATAACTCTTAAATGCCTCCAAATCACCTGTAACCATAAGAACTGCATAAGAAAAACCTAGGATAGATGCCATCACTAATACCAGATGGTCAGCCCTGTGTGTGGTGATGAGTGGGTTCTACATGAACCCCTGCCTTATTGCATTACTAGCCAACAAGCTAGTCTTCTGTCTTACTGACTCATTGAACTGCTCTATTCAAGTCTTGGTTCTGTATTTTTAAAATTTCCTATCATTTTTCTTTTTATCAAGGTGAAATTGGCATGTAACATTATGTAAGTTTCACATGTACATTTTAATTCTTTATCTGTATGCACTATAAAGTCTAGTTACATTTGTCACTATTCAGTTGACCTCCTTCAGCCATTCCACCCACCCCCACACCCTCTTCCCTTCTGGTAACTTCCAATCTGTTCTCTGTAGGAGTTTGGTTTGGTGGTTGTTGGGTTTTTTTTTTTTAGATTCCACATATGAGTGAAATCATGTATTTGTCTTTCTCTATCTGACTTATTTTACTTACCATGACAATACTTTTAAGTTCCATGCATGCTGTCTCAAATGGTAAGATTTCATTTTTTTTATGCCTGAGTAGTATATATACACTACATATACTACTACTACTACACACACACACACACACACACACACACACACACACACCATCTTCTTTATCGATTAATACATCAGTGGACGTTTTGGTTATTTCCATTTCTTGGCTATTGTAAATAATCCTGCAGTGAACATAAGGGTGGATATATCTTTTCAAATCAATATTTTCATATTCTTCAGATAAATACCCAGAAGAGGAACAGCTGGATCATATAGTCGTTCTATTCTTAATTTTTTGAGGAATCTCCATACTGTTGGCTGCACCACTTTACATTCCCACCAACAGTATACGATGATTCCCTTTTTTGTACTGCCTCATCAACACTTGTTATTTCTTGTCTTTTTGATTTTAGCTATTGTGACAGGTGTAAAGTGATATCTTATTTAATTTTAATTTACATTTCCATGATAATTACTGATGTTGAACATCTTTCCTGTGCCTCTTGGCCATCTTTAGGTCTTCTTTGGAAAAATGTTTATTCATATTATCTTCCCACTTTTAAATTGGATTGTTTGGTTTCTTGTTGTTGAGTTATATGAATTCTTTATATATTTTGGATATTAATCCCCTGTCAGATATATGAGTTGCAAAAACCTTCTCCCTTTCAGTAGGTTGCCTTTTCATTTTGATGATGGTTTCTTCCGCTGTGCAAAAGCAGCTTATTTTGATGTAATCTCATTCATTCATTCATTTTTTTTGTTTGTTTCTCTTCCTTTGGAGTCAGATCCACAGAGATATTGCTAAGACTGATGTGAAAGAGCTTACTACCACCTGTGTTTTCTTCTAGGAAATTTATGGTATCAGGTTTTTATATTCAAGTCTTTAATCCATTTTGAATTAACTTTTGTGTATGGTGTAAGCTGGTAGTCCAGTTTCATTCTTTTGCATTTGGCTGTCCAATATTGCCAACACCATTTACTGAAGATGCTGTCCTTTCTACATTGTATATTCTTGGCCTCTTTGTTGTAAGTTAATTGTCCATATGTGTGTAGGTGTAATTCTGAGCTCTCAGTGACATCCCACTGATCTGTGTGTCTCTTTTTATACCAATACTATACTGTTTTGATTACGGTAGCTTTGTAATATAGTTTTAAATCAGGGAACATGATACCTCCAGCTTTGTTGTTCTTTCTCAAAGTTGCTTTGGCTATACAGGAATTTTTTTGGTTCCATACAAAAAACTGTTTGCTCTAGTTCTGTAAAAAATGCCCTTGGAATTTCAATAGAGATTATAATGAATCTGTAGATTGCTTTGGGTAGTATGGACACTTAACAACATTAATTCTTCTAATCTGTGAGCACAGAATATCCTTCCATTTATTTGTGTCATCTTCAGTTTCTTTCATCAGTGTCTTACAGTTTTTAATATACAAGTCTTTCACCTCCTTGGTTAAATTTATTCCTAGGTGTTTTATTTTTTTTTGATGGAGCTGTAAGTGGGATTATTTTCTTAGTTTCTCTTTCCAATAAGTCATTATTAGTATATAAGAATGCCACAATTCTGTATTTTGATTTTGTGTGTTTATAAAATCTTTGTTAAGTGTCCTTTGACTACTGGATTCATGTACTCTAACAAATTTTTGGTGGTATCTTTTGGCTTATCTGCATATAGTATCCTGTCATCTACAAATAGTGACAGTTTTACTTCTTCCTTTTCAATTTGGATGCATTCTCCTTTTCTCTTCTCTTCTCCCTCTTCTCTCTACTCTTCTCCCTTCCCCTTCCCGCTTTCTTTTTATTTCTTGGACTAATTGCTGTGGCCAGGATGTCCAATAGTATTTGAATAGAAGTGGCCAGAGTGGGCATCATTGTCTTGTTCATGATCTTAAAAGAAAAGCTTTCTTTTATCATTGAGTATAATGTTAGCTGTGGCTGTGTCATTATGTGTTTTCTTATGTCCAGTAATGGTCCCTCTCTACCTGTTTATTGAGAGTTTTCATCAGATGCTTTTTCTGCATCTGTTGAAATGATGGGATTTTTAAATTTTTATTTATTTGTTTGCTTATTTGTGAAGGAGTGGAGGATGATGGGATGGGCAGAGGGAGCAACAGAATCTTAAGCAAGCTCCATACCCAGCATGGAGCCTGACACGGGGTTGGATCCCAGGATCCTGAGATCATGACCTGAGCCGAAATCAGGAGTCACACCCTTAACTGACTGAACCACCCAGGCACCCCTGAAATGATCATGATTTTTATTAGTTTTGTTAGTGTGGTATATCATGTTGTTTGATTTGTGGATATTGAGGCATTCTTGCATCCCTGGAATAAAGCCCACTTGACGTCATAGTGTATGATCCTTTTAATGTATTGTTGAATTTGGTTTGCTAATATTTTGTTGAGGAATTTTGCATCAGTGTTCATCAGTGATAGGCTTGTAATTACCTTTGTGTGTGTGTGTGTGTGTGTGTGTGTGTGTGGTTTCCTTATCTGGTTTTGGTATCAGAGTAAGGCTGGCTTCAAAAAATGGTTTTAGAAGTATTCCCTCCTCTTCAGTTTTTTGGAAGAGTTTGAGAAGGATAGGTATTAAATCTTCTTTGAATGTTTGGTAGAATTCACCAGTGTGAGGGTGTTTGGTCCTGGACTTTTGTTTGTTGAGAGGTTTTTGATGGCTGATTCAATCATACTACTAGTAATCTGTCTATTCATATTTTCTATTTCTCTGTGATTCAGTCGTAGAAGATTGTTTCTAGTAACTCTTCCATTTTTTTTCTAGGTTTTCCAATTTGTTGGCATATGTTTATAGTCGTTGCTCTTCATCCTTTTTATTTCTGTGGTGTCAGTTAAAACTTTTTTCATTTCTGATTTTATTAGAGCCTTCTCTTTCTTGGTTTGTCTAGCTACGGTTTGAGTTTATCTTTTCAAAGAACCAGCTCTTAGTTTCATTGACTTTTTTTTTTAATGTGTCTGTTTAATTTATTTCTGCTCTGATCTTTATTATTTCCTTCCTTTTCTTGACTTTGTGCTTCATTTGCTCTTTTTCCAACTCCTTTATATGGAAGATTAGATTGTTTGAGATTTTCTTGTATCTTGAGGTATGCCTGTATTGCTTTGATCTTCTGTCTTAAAACCGCATTTGTGGCATCCCATAGATATTTCTGTTTATTTGTCTCAAGGTATTTTTTGATTCTTTTTTGATTTCTTTATTGATTTAGTGATGTTTAGTAGCATATTGTTTAATCTCATCTATTTGTAGTTTTTCCAGTTTCTCAGAGAAGATGCTTGATATGATTTCAGTTTTCTTGAATTTATTGAGACTTGTTTTGTAGTCTAACATGTGATCTGTCCTAGACTATGTTCCATATGCATTTGTGAAGAATGTGTATTCTCTTCCTTTTGGATGGTGTGTTCTGTAATTTTCTATTAAGTACATCTGGTCTAATGTGTTGGTTAAGGCTGATGTTTTTTTATTGACTTTCTGTTGGGATGATCTCCCCATTGATATAAGTAGGATGTTAAAGTCCCCTACTGTTACTGTATTACTGTCCATTCCTCTCTTTAGGTCTGTTAATATTTACTTTATATATATTATTGCTCCTATGTTGGATGCATATATATTTATAAATGTTGTGTTTTCTTTTGGATTGACCTTTATATCATTATGTAATGCCCTTTGTCTATTAGTATAGTCTTTTTTTAAAAAAAAGGTTTTATTTATTTATTTAATTGAGAGAGTACAAGCGTGGGGGATGCACAGGGAGAGGGAGAAGCAGACTCCCTCCTGAGCAGAGAGCCTGACATGGGGCTCAATCCCAGGACCCTGAGATCATGACCTGAGATGAAGACAGATGCTTAATGGACTGAGCCACCCAGGCTCAGTTTAGTTATAGTCTTCTAATGCGTATTTTGTCTAATGTGAGTATAGCTCCTTCAGCTTTCTTTTTGTTTCCATTTGCATGGAATATCTTTCTCTAGCCCTTCCCTTTCAGTCTGTTTCTGTCCTTACTTTGAAGTAAGTCTTTTGTAGGCTGCATATAGATGGGTCATGTTTTTTTATCTATTCCATCTTTTTTGATTAGAGAGTTTAGTCCATTTACATTTAAAGTAATTATTGATAGGTATATATTACCTGCCATTTTGTTAGTTGTTTTCTGGCTATTTTCATAGTTCCTCTCTGTTCCTTTTCTTTCTCTCCTCTCTTGTGGCTTGATGGCTTTCTTTAGTGTATGTTTAGATTTTTCTTCTCATTTTCTTTTGTATATTTACTTTAAGTTTTTGCTTTGTGGTTACCATGAGCTTCACATATAACTTGCTGTGCGTATAACTTTCTGTTTTGACTTGATAGCAACTTAAATTTGAACACATTTCAAAACTTTACACTTTTCCCTCTAGTCCCGTTTTTT